TCAGCCTGCGTGAGCACTCGGTTGTTCGGGGCACTCCAAATTGGGCCTTGGGTGCTTCGCATTTGAATGGAGGGCTCAGTGCATTTGTCGGAGGCCCCACCTCTTATCCCGCTAAGATACACTGGATTGTTTGGGGGTCTTGCATGTTGGGTTTTTGCATTGAATATAGGGGCTTACGCCCCTGTCGGGGGCCATCTAAAGGCCTGCTTGGGTGCACTTGATCTTTTGGAGGCCCTCCACAGTGGGTTTTAGGTACTTCTTATTTGAATGCAAGGCCCTGTCTGATAACCTCCTCGGGCACGCTCGCTCGTTCGGGGGCCTCTCTACGTTGCGTCGTGGGTTGAGATTTCACCGCTTTAGAGCGTGACTGCCGGAGAATGTCCCGCGGGCGGGGCTTAGACACACCACATCAGTAACGGACTGCTGTCAAGCTGTATGCAGCCCGGACCTTGTTCGGGTTTTCAACAGTGGGTTGGTGTTTTATGAGCAGCTCAGAGGCACTCATTGTACCAGGGGCTATGTTAGGGGCAAGAGACCCTCTCACTGAAATTTAAGCCCCCGCCCGTGCGGTCGTGGGCCGCTGAAAAAGACCTCCGGTCAGCCTGATGCACCCCTCGGGCCTTCCAATCGGGCTTTCATCGTCGTTCCTGAGCGGTCCAAAGGCCTCCTCAGGTCATAAGGGGCGGGGCGCCTTCTATGCGTCCCTGTTTCCGACACAAAATTAATACTCGGCGTCATTCTTGCTCACCCAGCTTCCTCCACTCTTTCCCTGAGCCATCCTTATTGCACCCGAGGTCACTAGGTTGGATGCAAGCCCTACCTTGTTTGTACTTTTCAGCTTTGTTGGAACAGACACGTGGGATTTATTATGGAGTATCGGTTTCTAAAAATGCTTCTGAATAACTCATAATTTTGATTTGAAGAAACCGCTCCGCCGGGAGAAACGCCATTGGATTCCCTGCTTACCACTGTGAAAAAGACTTATTTCTTGCTTTTCTCAAAATGTATGTTATGTAAAAATCCAGTGTATAAAAATAATCTTGATAACGTATAAGTATCACCGTGATATTGAGTTAAAATAATGAATAACGTGAGTTTTGCAATACACAAATTGACCAAAGACGTGTGCAAAATGGTATGAGGTTTTCAATGACTACATGTAGCGAAAATATACAAACTTATGAGGTGATTAATCGTTAAAGGATGCGGATCAAACTACTGGCGGCCATATATTGCTTTTTGGGCTTTTTCCCTACGGTTTTAGCGAAAGGACTCCTCCTAATAGCATTTGGACTTCATGAAATAATGCTAGCTTGGATGCTGACGGTCGTTGCAGGCTGTATTACAAAAGTGGGTATATATCAGAACAAACGAAAAGGGTACCATGGACGTACCAAGCTCAAACTCACATCAATGGGCGCATTAAGACGCATATGCAAGAAGCTTTATGAATCGAAGAAGACGACGGTTTAAAAAGACGGCACCATAGAGGGATATACTTTAGATTTCTCCAATCCAGCTCTTAAGCTGCAATGTTCTAGCAATCAAAGGTATTGTGATTGCTGGCAAATCTAGATTCTAGCGATGACAGGTGTTCCGCTACGGACGTCAGGTTAGTCAACGTGACGAAAGTGAGTTTGCTTGTTTGGAGAAAATTGTCTTCAGCCCCCTGGTGTGCAAACTCACTAGGGAAGATCAAAGATAGGATTTTGTTATGACTAACGAGAAGGGGTTGGTGGATGCTTTGACAGTAGGTGAGACGCTGGGAAACAGTGACCATAATATAGTAAAGTTTTCATTGCATCTTGGTCATTTGGATAGCGCTAATCATGCTTTCATTTCAGATTTTGGCAGAGCCAAATTTAAAAGACTTGCAGCCCTTCTTGCTAATTTCCAGTGAGAACATTTTCTTGCTGGACATACAGCACGTCAGATGTGGGAAGTGTTGAAGGGTATTTTGGAAGGACAGGAAAGATTAAGTCCCTTGAGGAAAATGCGAGAAAAATAGCTGAAGGGCGCTCAGGTGTTGAGAGTAGAAAGGAAAACAAGAGTAGTGCTCAACGGTACTAAATTTCGTTGGAAGGTAGTAAAGAGTTGGGTTCCGCAGGGGCAGCGTTGGGCCATTCCATCTTTACTATTGTTGTGAATAATATGCAGATGGGATGAGAAAAAAACGTGCTTAAATTTCTTGGTGATGTCAAATTGATGGAGGCGTCAAAAAAATACTGGTCAGGTGAAACCTGACCTGAGAGAGACTAATGAGCTGGGCTCTCACTGGCAGATGCCATTTAACTATGATAATGTGAGGTGATGCATTTGGTTTTTCTGGCAGTGAGGACACTAGCTATAAAATGGGAGGCCTGCAGTTTGACCTGAATGGAGGAATGGACTTAGGGAATACATTTCCCAGGGATTTAAAGGCTGGAAAGAAATGTGGGGATGCTATGGACAAGACGCTTTGGATGCTGGCTGTTCTTGAAAGTAATTCCCACTACAAAAGTGGGAATGTCGTCAAAAAGTTGTGCTTAGCTTATGTAAGAGAGCACTAAGATGCTTATGTACACGCTTGGTCCCTATGCTTCCAAAAATATAGAGATATGCCGGAAAAGTACAGCAAAAAGCAATCAGGATCACAAATGGGATTGGCAACTTAGATAGGCTTGATGAGAAGAAGATAAGCTAAAGGCCTTGGATTTGTAGCTACTGGATTATTGCGGACATAGAGAGGATCTGATAAAGCTGTTCAAGATTGTAAAAGGGACAGAATAGGTAGATCTACAAGGCGCACTGGAAATCGGGTGGAGACCTAGAGGAAACCTTGTTCAGGTGGCAAAAGGGAGGAGTACAACTACGAAAAAGGCAGGAATCATTTAGCCAAGGAGTAGCGAATCATTGGAATGGGTTGCTAACCAATTGTAAGAAGTCTCTCTCTCCTTCAGCATTTGAAAACCGTTTGTACAGTTCTAGTGGTCGAAGGATGCTATTTACAGCTAAATTCAGGAAGATCAGGTGGTAAGATTGGGGTCGAAAATGTGTGCGGAACCTTATGTAGGCCAACCTCAATGGACCCCTGTCGCTCTTTGTTGACCTTATTTCTTAATGTCTTGATGAATGCCAAGGTGACTTTGAAATACTCCTCTCGAAATTCTCTCCACATTTTCGCGGGGCGTGCAGCTCACAAACCAGTGAGGCTATGTCTTAAGAAGGGCAGGGCTGTGAACTGCACCGTAAGGTCTTCAAGGCGGCTATTTCAGTTTAAAACCCCACATAAATGTGGAGCAGACCCTTTTAGTGTGACATATACTGTGTGCTAATTCAATACACTAACGCTGAGCTTATGCAATATGAAAAGTGACACGCTCTTGGGTCAAAATAAGGTTCATTGATATGTCAGGATGAATGAGAATTCGTGCAATTTTCCTTCAAACAATTTTCCAGGTAATTGGAAGCATTGATGGGTATGAATTTTGATCTGCTCCGTTAAAGGACGCGAGAAATTCAGCGTGACTGAATGTGACTGTAGTGCAAGTCATGTCATGCAGTGTGACTGAAAAGACATTTGTCTCTCAACGAATATGCGTCTGTTGCAGAACAACAATCATATTAAATAAGCCTTGATGGACACCTGCCAACCAGTCCGTTCGTCCGTCTGTTTGTCAGTCTGTCTGTCAGCTAGAAGTCGGCGCATCTCCCCGATCTGCCCCGTGCGAGCCCTGCCACGGCCGACCGCACCGCGCCACCAGACCAGTCCAGCCGGAGAAGTCGCCGCATTTCGCCGAGCTACCCGCCCGAGCCCCGGCCGCGAACGGCCCGCCAGTTAATCTGGCTTTAAAACCTGTCTTCACGAGCCGCAGACATACCATTCGTGCTCAGCCGGAGCTCGGGGTGCTCTCCCCTCCGACGTCGTCCTCGCTCGGTCCACCATGAAGGTGAGTGCCTGCTCGGGGCATGATGCACTCAAATATCGGAAACGGTCATGTCGCGATCGGGAGAGCCCCTGACTGCCAAACCCCGAGATGACGTCACGTTTCAGCTTGGTTCCATTTTGAACAGCCCCATCGCGCTCTGTAAATTAACAGAATGCTATCAGATTTCAATATCTGCGGACTGGAGGCTGACAGATAGCAGCGTGCCTCCCCTTAACGCGTGGTCTTCTGAACCAAACGCAGAACACGCTGCGGTCCGAAGGCAAACCCCATATGTTTATGCTGGACTATTTTGCGTTTTTATGGCATTTCATTGATCTTCTCAAACTGAATTCATTTTTTTCAACCATTGTTTGAAATAGCTGAATTCGGCTCGAGAAGACAAACCAAGTGACTTCAAGCACTCAAAATGGCCAAAAATGAGCATATGGGGTTTTGCCTTTGGACGGCAATATGCGTGGGGTGTTATTGAACGACATGATCAGCCATATCACCTTAATAACTAAAAGTATGTGACATAGATCAGGAAAGTTTGATGGCGCCGAAAGATTTTAAGACATGATCACTATGAACAAAAGCCCGCCTTCCTACTTTTCGGTGCGCAGCCAGGGCTCCGTTGCAGCGTGTACGTGCGTGTGTGTGTGTAAGAGGGGGAGGGGGGGGGGTGGGTCGGGATGCGAGCATGTGCTGCGATTTTCTCCCACACCCCGTGGTGGTCGAGAATGTCTTCATAAGTGTAATCAAACAGTTTCCACCACGACAAACGCAAGGCGAAGAAACAGCAAGAACTTGTTAAATCCTAAATGTCTAAAATATTTCGAAAAAGGCGTTTTTGTTTCTAGTACCAAAATCAGCGTCGCAATTACACACGCAGCTTGTGCTCACTTGGGTCCAACCACACACGGGCGTAACATAGATACTTTTAGGGTTAATTTGACGTAACTACGTTGCACGGCTATCAGCAGTTTAGTTATTTTGGCAAAGTTGGTCTAGTCTTCTGGACGTAGACGATTTCTACTTTTTCAAGGAGATATGTAGACCGGTACCTCAAAAAAGCCTGAGCAGGATACCTATGAGCAGAGGACATCCTTTGGCCGCGTCCCTGACAACTTAAGTATTCGGACTGTTCAAACCAATTCCAAGGACTCCACGACTATCATCAGTTCAATAACCTTCCATCGTATTTAACTCACTACGATATTCGTTTATTGGTAAAAGTTCTCTTACGTGAAACGTCAAAGCGAAGGTGGTTTAAGTGTACTTTTGATCATCGACCGAATTTCTGGAGGCAAAATTGTCGCAAGCGGTGTAACGCGACACCACATGACATAAAATAGTAATGTAGTCCATGCCCAGTAACGTGAAAAGGAATCGCTGCATCACTGAAAGCCTCTTTCGTCACCGCAATCTTCAAGATCATTCGCACAACCAAACCGCTCCATTGAATAATGTTAGCTTATGTCAGGTTAAGTGCTGCTGATAGGAAACAGGCGCACTTACAATAGGCTATGGGATATCTCAATCAGAATAGCATTATTCTTTCACCCCCCTGACATACTTAAGCCTAATGTTTAAACTCGATCTACGGCTGGATTTGATTTTCCTCGCGCGCAGAAAAAGAACAAATGGCTTGGATAGCCAGGGAAGCAGAATACACGGCATGATTTGAGCCAATGGCAGGCAGCACTCGGGATGACATCCAATATACGGGCCTCCTCGAGTCCATGCCCCTTTTGAAAATAACGTGTGTGCTACGAGCCCCACCTCAACCGTCAGCAAACTATCCATCATACCTCAGGTGTGCTCCAAGCTTGGTGCTATATTTGTTGCCTGGTAGGTGCCTTTCGACGTGCCCCAGCAATAACATTGCATTGGAATTTGTTAACAACCTCACATCAGGCAGCTGGTTCTTTCTGAACAACGTAATTGCACTAATAGGAGGGAGAAGAGAGCGGGGGGGGGGGGGGCATGCGACCCTCCCCTTTCTACGGTGTTCTGATGATACCAATCCGGCATATCGTGCAGTTTCCTCAAAAACCTTTGGTGGCCTCTTGGCCATTCATAGCGTGTGCGTTGCCACCAAAACGTATCTCTAGCAATTCTGGTTTCGGTGTGGCAATGTTTTTTTTAACAGCACTACAAGACGATCCTATGCCGGCGGGTCCCTTATACGGACAGCGAGCGGAGGGCTGGCACTGTTACGTGAACAACGAAGCCCTACGTTATGAATACAGGCTCGCAATAGATAAAACTACATGCAGCCGTGTTCATGCAAAGCTGAAATGTTTAGTTCTCGGGGAAATATGCCCTTAGATTTGTGCTAGTGGGTGTCAGTTAACAGAGGGAGACTTTTACCAATAGCGAGATCTCGTTAAAGTTTGATTTGATTCGTCCCTATTGCTTTTTCTGCGAGGCTTAAGCTTTGTTAGTTTACAAACGTCAGGGAATCCCCCCCTCCGCTCCATCAGTACGCATCATAAAATCCTGCGAATCAGGTTAAGGGATAAGATTGTTGTCTGCCTTCTCTTGTTGTTTTAAACATGCTGGTGTGGAAAACTACATTTCACATAATGAAAACACCAACTTCCTCAGCAAATGACTCATTTCGTTACCAATATAGAAACATGGGCAGAAATTCAATCAGAAAGTCAAAATTGCCCTTTGCATACTAAGTATCCAGCAAATCTGAGCTTACCTGTTATAGTTGCCATGTATAATGTGGGAGTGTCGATTCAAATTAATTTCTGGGGCCCTACCCAACTTCCTGTTGGGTTGGCTCTTCAATGCCTATTGCTCTCTCCCCCCACCCTCAGCATTTCTAGGTGGAAGAGAGCAAAAAATCTGAGAACAATTTAAATATAACAGAAATTTATCTTCTTATGTTGTGATATCATCTCATAATATGTTATTCATGGCCCAGCAATGCGAATGCCGTTTGCAAAAAACGCAGTGCATTGGAAGACATCACCCCCCCCCCCCCCTCATATCAGTCGCATAGCAACGACTGAAACATGTGCTTGCAGCAGCCGTTTCCTTATACCTTGATCTTCTTCACTACATTACGCTGTATTGTTCGAGACACTGAGAGCCGGCTGGTAAAAAAAGAGAATCGGCCGACCGGCCGGACCATAGGAAATTCACTGATTTGCTATTTTCTTTTTTTGTTGCCGGGTGAGGATGAAACCTAAAACAGATGCCATGTTGCGGTAGAGTACGGTAAAGGTCTTCACAGACAGGCTTGCTTGTGTTGTGTGACGAAATATGTTGTCATGGTAACATGATATCTGTGCATGGAAACCTCATGCCGGGTTTTGCAGAGTTCCATTACTTCGTCGTGGCCATCACCAAAATTTTCTGCCAATATATTTTTGACACCAAGCTTTGGGTAAATCCATGCATATTTGTCGCCGACCTTATCAACCAAGACCGCAAGTTTACCACTACGGCTCTACAGCCCTTCATTCGTAGTCTGCTGTCAGTGAAACTTTTGTAATAACACTGCGTACCAGCCCCGCATGTACTGCAAGCATCTGAAGACCAGCGACGCCCGGATTAAAGTCATGGTCTTCGTTCATTTTTACCCAGGCAGTCCACTGTGCACCACAACAGCCACCTTGCGGTCTGAATGTGGAGCCATGTGCTTACGTTCCATTTGCGGTCGGAACAGCACAAGCCGCCACTCGGTCCGGACTCGCGTCATATAGAGCGGCGGATACAAGCGCTGGCAGACCCTTTTCCGCTCCCGCTTAGATGAATAATATTGGCATGCGGGGAACACTGTGTGCCCCACATCAGGCAGAGGTTGCGATGAAAGTTGCACAGCGCCGCCTGCACGCGCAGGGCATCTCACATCACAGTGCCGCACGGTATTTCTTGCGCTCGAATTTGCCCAGACTAGATGCCTTGCAACAAAGTTGTCAAACGCGCTTCGTTGCGTGGCCCTGCGGGTCAGACCGAGAATAGCTGAAGCAAGATCTCCAACTTACCGCTGTAAAGCGTTGGATCAGTCTGAATTACTGGCCGTTTTGCAGGTTTCCGCTGTATTGCGTACCCCCTAACCGTTTTCCCTCGAGAAGCCATTAGGAGAGCAAGATCAGGAGTTTACTGTAATCGAAATTTCCACGTCTTGCCCACCCAGGATCAGCTTTGCGGCTCATTATTAAGAACTGACTTTTGCATTGCACGTCATAAGAACTGAGCCGTTGTTTTTCAGTTTGGAATTCAGCATGTTTCAACGACGTGTCCAATCATGTTGCGCCTGAGATCATCATGATGCAATGAAATAAATCTGCGCCTATTCACCAACTCCTAACATTCTGTTTCGGGTCAGATATCTGTGGGCTGCCCATCTCATGCCAGGCTGCCCAGTCACGGGGCAAAAGCGGCAAAGAAAACATGGATCTATGTAAGACAACTTAACCGATGCATTATATCGTTATTCTACTTTTTTCACGACATGGAGACTACCGCTGACTGGGTGACAGGCTTACGTGTCAAATGCCAAAACCTGCTCGCTGCCGCTCTGGTCGAGCTGAAGACTACACGGCTTGATTTAGCGGATCACGTGACAAAAGGCAAGTTTTCAGCAAACACGCAGATATGAACGTTGATCACCAATTCATCTCTTATGAAACATCTGAAGCCGACAGAGAACAACGCGTTACACATCGAATAAATTTGAGAGATCTTGTCTTCCAGCGAGTAACGAGTCTCTTAATATTAACCACACATATCACAAAAGCTAGACCCATCCAAAAGGTACAAACTCTTACCTGCATGTTTAAGAACATTCACTTCAGCTCGGGGCTGTAATTTTGAAGAGCTGAGTTTGAGTCATTTCTAAACCTGCTTATGAAATTGACCTGCCTGGGCTTGACAGATCTGTGATCTTGACCTGTGGCTTGCTTTTGTTCTTGGAAATGCCAAGGAGGTGTTTTAGACTGTCCATCTCTTGCTCATTATCAAATGGATAAGTGTTGCTGGGCATAATATAACTTAACTGAACAAAACTATCCTCGTACCTGTCGCTAGGTCAGAATATCGGAAGTCGCCAGATCAAACTGTAGCATTTATGACCAGATTTAGCCATTGCAAGGTCATGCGATTTTATACGTTACACGTCATACGATCACCTCATGCGTCATGCGATTACGTCATGCGGCATACGATTACGACATAAGTCGTACGATCATGTCATGCGATTACGTCATACATCATACGATTACGCAATACGTCATACAATTACGCCGTACGTCTTACGATTACGCCCAACTTCATACGATTACGTCGTACGTCACACGATTACATCATACGGCGTACGGTCATACGATTTTTTAACCTTCGCCGTAAGCGCTTTTTGACAACACTTCCTTCTGTAGCGTGGCTTGTTAAGCTCTTGATGTAGACGACAAGGCCAATTGAACAAAAGCCTTCGCCTCGAGGGAAGCATTGGGCTGTACGATATGCTCGGCTGCTGAGGCTATATGACGTCACTCCCTTGACCTGACCTGGCATATCGCACGTTACACTTGTCGACGTCCACTTATCATCAGCTGATTGGGATGTTGCAGGGACTATTCAACGCCGTCTTCCGCTTTGCCGTAGCTTGTATAGTTATTTTGATAACAGGAGGGGTCTGCGAAATTTTGCTACCATGACCTAATTTGACTTATCAGGGGTCACATTTACCATCGTTCATCACACTTTTCGCGCAGATTTTGACGACAGCCTCCAAATGTTTTCCGTGACTCCAGCATTCTCAATTTTCCAGACTCTAGTGAGAGAGCGGCCTTTGAGAGCCGACCCCCATCTCAGGATGAGAAACAGGAGCTCTGAACCTGTCTCAGGGTGAAAAATGCTCGTAAATCGGGGTTAGTACGAAGACAAGGAGAATGCTCACAACGCACAGCGATCATCTACCACGTGACCTTGGGTGGTGAGCCCAGCCTAAAGCGGCCCGGCACGCTGATCCTCGACTGGCTCATGTTTCAGGCGTTAACACCGGTGCTTTTGTGCTGGTGCGCAGCAGTATGCGTAGCTCAGGACATCCCGAGCCGGCTGGTCTGTTACTACACCAGCTGGGCGCGGTATCGAAGTTCCATCGCCAAGTTCACACCAGAAAACATCAACCCGCACCTCTGCACCCATCTGCACTACGCAGTCGTCAACGCCAATGATAAACAGGAGTTGGGCCCGGCCGATAAGTTCTCCGATATTGATCAGCAGGGATATGAGCACATGGTGGCCCTCAAGGCAGCTAATCCGGCTCTGAAGGTACTGATGATGCTAGGAGGATCTGGACAGGTAAAGCAAGAAGTCTTTTTGGAGCTGGCTAGCGATGAAGCCAAGATCGAGCGCTTTGTAAGGGAAACTATAAAATACATCAGAAGGCATAGATTTGACGGCATTGACATTGACTGGAAGGTGGAAGGGAAAAAGGAAGAACACGCTAGGCTCATGGAAGCTCTAGCTGCTGGTTTCATGGAGGAAGCCGAAGAATCACGCATGAACAGGTTACTTCTGACCACCACAATTCCGGCCAACATTACCAAAATACGAAATGGGTTTGACCGTCGGTCGAGTTTCTAAAGCTGTCGACTACATGACCGCTATGCTGTACACCTTTCATACGGGTTCCGAGAATCAAACGGCGCACCACGCTGCATTGCACGCTACCGATCTCGACGACACAAACTATGCGGACTTTGTCATTCAGATGTTGAAGGAGACCGGCGCAGACCCAGCTCGGTTAGTAATGGGCGTTCCTACTTTTGGAATCACATTCACTCTCGCAGATGCCGAACGTCGAGGCTTCGGAGCTCCAACGAAGGATGTAGGCTACGCCGGCAAGTACACCAGGCTGGCGGGTACTCTATCCTTTACTGAGATTTGCGAGCACATCAGCATGGACGGCTGGCGGGCGTTCGCCCGCGACCGGACGCAGTCGGCCCTTACGCCGTCGAAGGTGATCAGTGGGTGGCCTACGACGACGAAGTCATGATGCGAAGAAAGGGCGTCTACATACGTGAGCAGGGCTTGGGCGGAGCGGCAGTGTGGGCACTCGCCCAGGATGACTTCCGTGGAGTGTGCACCGGTCGGCCCTATCCTCTGATTGAAGCCTTGAAAGAGGGTCTGTTTGCCAATGATATGGCGCCGCCTACCACGCCCAGCCCGCCCCCAACGCCCGTTTACGACAACACCTCGGTGTTCACGTGCCCAGCGGACGGCAGATTCGCAAAGATGGACAACTGCGCAGAGTTTTATGTCTGCCGCAAAGGCTTGTTCGAAGTGCTCCCCTGCGAAGACGGTCAGAGGTACGATCCTCAGCGAGATGTTTGCGACGAGGATGCTCCGTGTGTCCAACAACCTCTCGTTGGCGTCACCGCCTTCGCTCCAACACCATCTCCGTCCACATCTGGTCCTTTAAGACCAATGGGGCAAACGACACCTGGTGCACAGATGCCACCGACGACCAAACCTCAAAGTAGCGACATTTCCCGCACCGTTTGCGGGACCACGACCATGCATTCACCCTCGGCTCCGGCAACCTCATTGAGCTCGGTCATGGTGCCTTCCGCAACAACTGCAACGCCCGTGACCGAGATGATGTTCGACAAGGAAGTCACTGACGCGGAAGAGCTGCGGCAGCTGCTGGCGCTGGTCCAGAAGCTGGGCGGCGTAAGAAGCGTGCAGAGGCTTCTGGCAGCGATGGACGGTCCGAAGCGCGGTGCTGTGCAGCCTGCCGCTCAGACAACTGTCACGGAGGTCGGCGGTGACCTGCGCGTCAAGGTGCACGTGATCGTAGAAGTGAGGCCATTCTGAATTTGTGGCGCGCGTGCCAGCATGTGGACGCCACTGGACCCTGATCAGGGATGGTTTGCTGTTCGCAGTTGGAAAATGTGTACCTGCGAGTGACAGCTGTCTCTGAACTGTTGTCATGAATTAAACTGACGCCGAAGATGACAACTGATATAACTCGGACACTGCTTTAAGGATAATGTACTGATGGCGTGTTGGCCTTAGATGCCGAGTTTCCCAGGAAATGGTTTCACTTTCATGCTGATTTTGTGGATTTGAAAAGGTTAGTGCCGAATGTGTACTTTTTGAAAGGTTTCGTAATTCGCATGGTATCTTCAGAATAGCTGGGAAAATGCTGAAATTCAGCTATTTGTCCTGACGCCAAGGATACTAGCTCCTGCTCGCAAGGGTCAGGTTATCTGCGGAGTGGTGGCAGTCACGTGTCACAGTGTCACGCTGACGCTGAGTTCACTGCTGTCGAGAACGCCCTGGCCACTTTGGCAGTCACTCGCTGTGCTACGCAAAGTCATGCTTCTAAATACAAGGCAAGTTACACGCATTATGACCTGCGCTTAAGACGGTTAGCCAGTAGACAAAAGACAGCAACAGCGGGCCTGTCCGTGTCAAATCGGGTCGTCGTGTCGTAGTCCGGTACGCCACAGGTCAGCTCGTCGTGTTGGGATACGGTATGTCCTAGTCTACGTCGTATGTCATATGTCATATTTACGCTCATGACCGGCCTGCCCAAAAGGAGGCGTCATGCTGTTCTGCAGGCAGCAGATGACGGCTGTCATGGCCTCGACAGTCGCCGCCATTCTCGGCATCGTCACCTGCGCAGCGTCTACGAATGGCTTAAAATCATTGGGCACATGGTCAAACCTAGTATGCAACTTCATAACTTGTTCATTCTTGATGAAAGATGAACGCGCCCAGACGAATATCGATTTGCCAGGTCAGTGTAAATGCTCCACGCGATTTTGATCTACACTTAACCTTGATTACGCGGGGTTCCCAATATCTCTGTATAACCCTGAACAACTACAACAAAGCCCGTATTGCCATCGGTCAAAACCGGGTCCACTGAATCATTAAGAAACCAAATGGCGCCGACGGTTACTCCGATGCAGTTCTTGAATACCTTAATTTCGTCAGTTGATAACTTTGAAACACCAAAAAATTGCACCGTTCGTGGACTCCTGGCTTTTGTTTCAGTTACAGGACGTACACGAATCATAAGGATTTTAAATTAAAATAGCCTTCGGAATGTCATTTGGTGCAGGTCACAGCCCTGACCTTCTTCAAACGTAAGTCCTTCAAGTTTCTGAGCTACATGACGGCCAAGAAGTGCAGACTTTCGGGGAAACAATTTCCATGTCACTCAAGCATCCATGACGCCATGATTATGTAATTTAAATGTTGACATACCTTTGGCTATGCGGGAGATCAAAGCCTAGGAAAATGTAATTGTCGACTGGCTTATATCCGGCATTCTTGAATATGATTCCAAATGCAACGGCCATCAACTGGCTGTCAATCATCGCTGCGTGAGATATGATGACGTTATCAAGCAAATACATGTTGAGGAAGATATTTGCGAAACAGAGAAATTGTATTGTACATGGCAGGTTTTTCACTTGATAGTATGCCGATGGTAATAAGTAAGCCGAGAAATTTGAGAAGATGCGATTTCGGGAAAGTTGAGGAGGTGTGATTTTGGACATTCTTAATTTCATCCGATGGACACGGTTCGCGGGCGTAGGTCAGATGCGAATGCACTATGTTCACCTTCAAATGATAAGTAACTCGAACGGCATAGTACGCGAGTCAGGCGAGAACGTGCAAGACGTGCA